CTTTCCCTGCGCAATCCAGAACCTCCCTGCAGCAGGCACTGGTACCTACTTGGGTGATTAACTATTTTGCGAAGAAACTCCTCCGCATTTCAAGGAAAGGGAGGAACATTCAGGTTTCTAGACTCTAGGAAGCAATCTTAACAGCAGTCCTAATAATGGAAGACGGTCGAAAGCTGAAAGCCCTGCGGAGGTGCAAAGCTGAGCGCGCCCCGGTCCGCCGGCTCTGGGTGGAAGCTGAAGCCCTCCGCCAACCTCCAGAAACTCTGGGGTGGAGATGCTTCCTTGCTGAAAAGGTTGAGCAGTGCAGCATGCATTAGGGGGAACTCAGCCCCGATGGGAGAGGTCTCCAAGTATCACTGATTGCACTTCAGTGTCCAGTATTTGAATTCTCAAGCATCTTCCATCACCTGTATTTCAAACCTCTGCTCAGTGCTAAATGCTTGTGTGAGGGATGACGGTGCTATCTTACAGACAAAAGGACTGAGATACAAGCAAGATAAGGGCTTGTTTACAGGAATTGCAATGACATATCTGAGCTACCTTAAATCAGCTGGCTTGCATTATGTTAGCACAGAGTTCAGCACAAATTGTGAAAATAAATGGTTTGCTTCTTGAGGTGGACTGCAGCCTGCATGGAGCTCCATGGGGCTGCGGGTATGCTGCTAGCAGTACCCAGCCTAGATTAGAGTTGGCTAAGGTATGTCCACACAAGCTGCAGTCACAGCAGCAACTGCCATATGGCCGTGCTCGCGTGACCCGCTGCCTGACATTGGCTAAATCGCTGCCAGGGCCAGCAGCAGAACGGACTACAGTAGGAAAGTGCTGCCCCGCTTGTTAAAGCACTGCCGCGAACACAGGCTGTGAGCTGACACTCACCAACCTGCAGAACTACATTAATCAGTAAAAACTCCTTACAAATTTATTGGATCCATGTGGCTATGCTGAGGGGCCAGAGAGATTCAAAGATGTGAACAGCCGTTTAGTCCAGTGTTGCACACAAACTCTCCCCCTCCCCACTTACCTCCCCATATGTCTCTGTACACCTTCCCTTCCATCGCTGCTTTCGGCCTCATCGCTTATTTAGACTCTTTTTTCCCTCTGCAATGACCACCATGTACTGAAACCTCTCCCTGAGTTAGTACCCATTGCCTGTGGCTTCCCTGGACTCTAATTTCTCCTGGGGAGCCATTTCCATTAAGATGGCCTTAAGAAATGAGCTGTTTTGTAATGACTAAGTAACCTTGGGTAGCCTTAAAAGAAGGCTCATTATCAAGGTACTGCCAACCATGAAGCTGGCATCCTTCCCTGCAAGTTGTACATCCACTCCCTCTGTCAACTCAACAATCTTTTAAAGACTTCTTTGAGGCAGGGATTGCTCTTTCCATTACATTCCAGAACCAAGCAGCAGTCACCCATTTCAAGAATGCAACCAGCAAAACCCTGTCTCAGTCCATTATCTTCATCAAATTGCAAAAATATTCAGCCCATCAGTATTTTTCTAGCAAGCATAGACTTTGCTGTGCCAGTAAGGAGGGGGGAAAACCCTAACTTTGAGGCATGCAGAGTTCAACGAGACCCAACCCTAATCCTACAGGGTTTTCTATATATGCTTGAGAGTGAGGGGTTAATCTCAAATAACAGAACAATATCTGGTTATAAGATATTGGCATTTTGAGAGTTATTTTTAGTCTCCTGTAGATGCCAAGGAAGAATAAAATGTATTCAAATCCAGAAATATTTTTGATGCCTTGTAGAAATAATTTGGAAGGTGGCCATTTCTTTGTCATAATTCATAGTCACTCTGAAAACAGGAGATCACTTTCATCTGAGGAAGGAATGATTAAACAAAACATACAAGGTTACTTCTATCATATCTGCTCCTATTAGACACTGGCCAAGTTCTAAACCACGGTGCAGCACCACAGTGCTCCTCTCACAACCTCAATGCCTGCATGCACCATCAGTGCAACAGCGAACATGTTAAGGTTACATGTGGATCAGCAGACACAAATGTAACTGCGTGTGCACCCATGTGTACGTAAGTGGGATCATATGATTTTTGGGGACAACACTGGGAAAGCAGGAAGTGGGACACTGTGAACTGGATGCCAAATAGTCTACAGAAACCTCCTCCTTCAAACAGGCCCTGCAAAACAGCAGGCTGAAATGTGGAAACGAATGCCTTCAAACAGCAAGGATTACTGTGTTAAACAGCCATAGGAAATCTGTGTTGTGGGTATGGGCAAGTATGGCAGAAGGTCCAGGTGCACTGAGGAAAGGGGCACAGAAGCTGCTGCTCCATCCCAGCACATCCCCAGTGAGGACAAGGGCACCTTAGCACAAGCTCTTCCATCATCATACTGCTTGTTTGCATCCAAGCCCTCATCTCTGCCACGCCACCGGATAAAACCTGCCTTATATACATTAATACCTCTTATAAACATTAATTTGACAATTGCCAGCACAGCAGCTGCTCTATTCTTAATGAACAACACAAAGATCATCCTGCCCTTCCTCCCCCATTTCCTTTCCCAAGCTTCACAATCCCCTGCACTAATTCACAGAGTCTTTTCCTTCCTCCTCCAAACAATTGCTAGGGATATAATTATCCTTCCATTCATTTTGCAGGAAGTATTCCCCCTTCTATAAGCTTTGCTCTTCACCCACCCCTTATACTTCTTCCTAGGTTACATCCTCATTGGCCTGTCACACCTTTTTCAGTAGCTACTCCTGACTCCAAAAGCCAAGGTTAGTTCTCACCTGGTGCTGGGAATCGCTACCTGGGTACCCAGAGCTGCACCTGTAGCAGCAAGGGCACACAGGGGACTTCCTCTCCAGGACAGTGCCCTACACTCTCTGCCCCTTCGCTGGTAGCTTCACTTTGCCCTTAACTGAAAGCCTCTGGAAAAATTACGGCTCTTTTCTTCATCAGCCCAAGTATTCCAGGCCTGTGTTACCTAGCACCAGCTAAAACATGAACGCAGACAAAGCACTCTGTAATCCAAAGCCAAGACAGAACAGCTGGATACAGGCAGCAGGGAAGGGACTACCAGGAAGCACCACTGCTGTGCACAGCCTCACCTTGGCATCTGCCTTCCCAGGGGCAGGCTTTCTGGAGGTGCTGTCACAAAGCTGAGTTGCAAGAGGGGTCTCCAAGGGAGCAATGAAATGGCTTTGTCACCATCTGAGCATGTGAAAGAAAGTCAAGCAACTCATCTGAAGAATGATTTGCAGGGCCGTGGCAATGGCAACAGCACCTTGGTGCAGCCAGGGACTGGCCAGCCATTCAGCATGGCAGCAAGGGTAGAACATGCCAGGACAGCCTTGGAGGGATATATTCTCTAGAATAAATAGAACTGCTCCCCTCTACCAGGACACATCTCTAATCCAAACCATGCTGAATAGAAAATAACTTCTACAACCAAACAAGATGGCTCAACTGCTTCCCAACTCCTTCCAATTTTCCTTCTCAGTCATAAAGAAATAGATACAAAGACTGCCATTCTTAATCATTTCTTTCTTCCCACAATATTCAGACCTGACAGCAACCGATGTCCTAGCAGAGACTGCTGTTTACCAACATGCCGCACACAGCTCTTCAGCCAAGTTTCAGTTTATAGGACAGAATTGTTCAAAAAAATTACATTAGAGTACATCCGGTGTTTTGGCAGAATACGTGCCACCTATATTGTTTTTCCAAAATCATTTGTTTGTGCAGGTCAAGGAGTGAGTGAAAACAAACAGATGGACTCAGTCCTTCAGGATGCACAATGGGGACTGAAGAGAAAAAGGGATCCTATTGCTGCCAGGGGCTCAAAGCAGCCTGGATTTCCTGCTTGGCGTCGGTCTGTTGTAGTCCCTGGACTCCAGCTATATAGCTTATAACCTTTTATACTCTAGAAGGTGAGTATGTACATGTGAGCTTGGCCCTCACATGCATGTCCCTGCTGCCTTTCCTGTAGCCCAGCAATCTTCCATCTCTTGTCATGCTGGGAAGAAAGTTCAAACTCAACGTTTACCAGCTCTAACCACCCCTTTATAAAGCTTCCCAGGCACAAGCAGCTCTGCAACACACACGCACTCCACACAGGCTTTAACACTGAAATGCTGTGAGACTGGCAGCCACCCAAGCAGTTTGGGTTAACTAGGGACAAGAATGATTGATATGGTTCCTGGTTTGCAGGGACCAGTGAGAAGACACCAGATTCCCAAATCAAAGATGGGGAACACTTTATCATAGAGCAGAAATACGGCTAAGTGATAAAACCTTTTTTATTGAACATCAGCGGAGGCATGTGAAGGAAGGCCTTAGAAACTTCAGGTTAACACATCTCCTTCCCACAGCAATGGCCAGTGGTTTCCTTGGTTGTCACACAGAGTTCATGCCCAGGCTACCAACTGGGCTACCACCACTCCTCTAAGAAGGAGAAAGAGATCTCGCTCTCTAAGAAACATTGTAGTCTATCTGCTCATTAAGAAATGATTGCTCAAAGCAACAAATATTATCTGATCTCCTGGACAAATTAAATGTGAATATTCACTAGAATCACTTCCAGTTCCATTGTGACCCTGGAAATATTCTGAACTACTTTTTTGAAGGCTTAAGGGCAAAAAATGCAAGAAAAGTTGCTTTGATGGACCACCATCTGCTCTGGATATGGACTGCATACCCACTACTTAGAAATGCTGTCTACACTGGACACCATCCATCTTGGAGTATTCTTTGAAGAATTTACTGGAGTATGGGGAAAGTTGTTACAGAGACAGTTTCCCACTCCTAGATTTCTATAGCAATATACCTCACAATGCTGACATCTATTTCTGTCTCAAAGCTTGAAAAAATTCAGACTGAAACACCCAGCTCCCTCCCCATTAAATGAAAGATAATGGTACATTTCCAGCTGGATGTCTGGAGACAAAAACCCAAACCACCCCCCCCCC